TTACCAGTTCCAAAACTAGATTAAAACATTTTAAGATTAGGTTGACACGATATAATATATTGTAGGTCACTATTTCAAAAAAACTTTCCATTATGAAAATTCTTTTCTTTTTGCAACTTTTGGCTTATATACTATAACAGCACGATATGAAAGGGGCTGACCTCTTGTTGTTTGCACTCTTTATAAAATGTTAATATATTGGCACTAATTTAAAAATGTATATAGATTAGATACATACACTTGACATGCTTTTCAAATAACTTTTGAAGTTTAAGTTTATACATTATCAAAATATGTAAGAAAAAATATCTCGGTCTCATTTGATAAGATTGGAGCACGAGACCTGTGAACATTTTTTGGTTCATGGATCGAGTAAATGGCGGATTATCTTAAAATGGAAAAAAGTATTTAGATAGTTAATATTTAGTAATAAAATTAATTTAATAAGAGAAAACAACATGAAATAAAATTAATTAGTGTCAATTAATACTCTAATATTACCATGTTTAAGTTAGCTAGAAGTAAATTACTAAGAAAAGTGTAGATGGCGCTCTGACATCAAGATATGAAAATTAATTTTTGCGTTTGCAGCTTTCATTGGAGATTGGAATCGAAAATGTTTTTGTGTGCAAAAACCAAACACCTTTGAATAACTTTCCACTTCTTTTCTCCTTAATTTTTTCTCGTAGAGTGGTCAGTAACGTCGAATAGTAATTCCCAGTTATTGTTCTACCCTTATCCATATAATCAATCTTGATTATTTCATGGTAATCCCAAAAAACTGAAGCAAGAACTTTTCCCGGAGATTTTTGAACATGGAAATTCTTAGGCTTTGGAGAACACCAGAGTATTTCCATTCCATCGATTGGACTTTGTATCTGGGTCGTAGAAATGCACCCAAGTTTCATCCACATTAACAACACGGCTTAAGAAGCTACATCTTTTTCAAACCGAGCACAGATCGAACGCGATGCTTCTACCCTTGACGATTCTGGTTAACATTCAGACATTTAGGGAGAACATTATTTTTCTCATGTCCAAATCGACTTGATCTAAAATACGCCGCAGATGAAGTGGAACAGCCAAAAAAATTACCTAATTTTGACTAGCTGTTTGCGTCAGTGGCGTTGAATATTTTTTTTCAATCCCTTTTTGTTGTACAGAGCGTTAATTTAATTCCGCGAAAAATGTCGATTTTTGGCAAAGAATTTTGAAAATGTATGGGGCCAAATCAAGTTCTTTCTGACGTTTAGTGGATCACTAGGTCGACACCTCGGGACGCCTTTGCCAATTTTTTTTGATACTTTGCGTTGCTATGGAAATATCGCCATTTGAAGAAATTCCGTTTTACTTTTAAAATTAGCCTTTCTTTAATTAAAGATTAACAGATACTGACTAAACTGCAAGCGCGTGCAAAAAGTGGTTTATGAAATTAAAGAAACAAAAACTTAATTTTATATGAAATTTTTAATACTTTTCTTAAACGTTACAGTTTAAAAGATGCCATAACTGCAATTAGTTTGATTTTGACTAATTCAGAGGCGTGCAAAAGAGGTTTAGCAGTTAAAAGAATTAAATACCAGTTTTCTTTTCATTGGTTTTTTATGTAGAAAGCTCATATACGTAATTCATTAGAATAATTTAAATTAATAACTATTTATTAATAATTAATTAATAAAGCTTTGGACATACTATAACCTGAATAACTACCTGGCATGCTCGAAATTAAGTTATTAATTAGTTCCATAAAAACTGCCTCCCAGAGCTCCAAAATCATCATCTAAAGTTTCTGGCTGACGTTCCCTTCGGGAAACCAACTTCATCCATCTCCAGAATTGCTCAATAGGATTGGGGATCTAGTAGTCCAAGAGCTAGTAACACAAATTTCATTAAGTGTTTGATGCACTTTGAAATTTTGTAATTTGAAATCATTTGGATGGAAAATCAGATATAGCTGTGTTGGCTAGACCCACCCCGGGACACCAGGTACTGCGCATAATAGAAAGGGGTCGTAAAATATGACCCAAAAAAAGTGTTTGATTCAGAGGTCAATAAACAACAATTGAAAGTTTAGGTAATGCTAAAAATACTAGTAATTTAGGCAGACACTTTTGAGAGGGTTTATAATTAATAAATCAACCCCAAAGTTGATTTTTTTTAAATATGTTTTGAAGGTGTTTGATTCACGCTGAAATTTTAATAGCGTCTTAATTAAATATAAAAAAAATTAATTCCAAAATGGCAGACACTTTTTCCGGGGTTTAATTGCCGGCTAACATAAAAATAAGTCTTATTTACTATAAAAAGAGATTTTAAATTCATATTTCGGAGTATATTAAAAAAATGCATTTATTTAGATGACTTATGTTTAAACTTTTAATCTCTCAAGATTAAAAATTAATACAATTAAGTAATAATGATACTTTTATAGTTTTTAAATCATATATTTATGTGATTCCATTAAATTACAATGTAAGTATCATTTGACATGATAAAATTTTTCGTAAATATTTGTAATAAATTGTTATATATTATTATAAGCGATTCCAAACTTTTAGCAATGTGTGCTTGGTGGCGCAGAGCGTACAGTGGTCAAAATTTGGACAGTGTGGATGGCGCAGCGCCACTATGCATTGAATAAGTATATACTTTTTAAAAACTAAACATTCTAAATTACTGAATAATAAAACAATATTTTCCTTTTTTTTAAAAAAAAAAAAAAACCAAAAAAGAACTAAAAGTTTCGGGGCTCAAACCACCAACTTGCTATATGAAAATAAAACCATCTATAACTTGGCAACTAGCCATTTTCTCACTACGGGATTTGTTTAGTCATTAGCATGACAAACGTTTCCATGGCAACAGTTTCTCTATAATATCACGCTACGCTCCTCCCACCCACCTCTTATCTACTACAGAGGAAAGCGAGCGAAGGGAGCGCGCCCGGCCGACGTTTCGAAATTCGCGCGTGCGAATTTCGAAACGTCGGCAGGGTGCGCTCTTTTTCCACCTACATCATAAGATCACGCTACGCTCGTTCCACCCACCTACTAACCACTACTTGGTAACTACACCACGAGATTTGGGTTTTTGTTTAGTCGTTAGCATAATAAGCGTTTTCATGGCAACAGTTTCTTCATAACTGATTTCAGCTAAACTAAAGTGAACATTAAATAATCTATGACAAGCGTTTCCATGAAAACAGTTTTTCCGTAACTGATTTCGGCTAAACTAAAGTGAACATTAAATGATCTGTTAAATGAAATTAAACAAAAACCGTAATCATCTACAACTTGGCAACTACGTATTTCCTCACCATAAGATTAAGGTTTTTGTTTACTCATTGTTATTATGACAGTTTTTGCATAACAGATTTCGGCTAAACGAAAGTTGAGCCGGCTCGATACTCGTAAGTTTTCTATTTTCATAATTTTGGTCGACATCCTTTTTTTCAATTTTTATTGCACTTACCTAGTTTGACTTTTCCTAGATAAAATCATCTCTAATATGGAAACAAATACAGAGCGATTTCCGCTTTATTCTCCTTCGCCAGGGTCCACTGGTGTACTACTACTATTTTATATCCATTTCCCAATATGTCATTATTCAATTATTCACAAGTATCCTTCCAGTGCTATGCTTTTCTTCCTTTATTAGTCTCCTCATAACTCTGCTATTATCCTTTTTATTTTGTTTCTTGTTTCATCTGATCTGTAACAGTGCGGTTCACCATAATTCTTGTCACCTTTCATCTTTGGTACACTCCGACCTTTCCTCTTGTATTTTCGTAGTCCACCAACAGGGCATCGTTCTCCTGTTTCTGTTGTCATTTGTTATTAAGCTACTTTGAAATGTTTCTTTTAGAGCCGTTCTGCAGCATAAAGTGCGTTCTTCCTCTACACTCTGCTCGAAGCCAGTTTGAAATGCTCCCCAGACAACAAAAGGGTTTCTTTCTTGTTGTGGACGAGTATCGAGTGGTTAAATACTTTATTTTAGAAATATAAATAAACAGCTAAATCAATTACAAATTAAATTTGAAACTTCAATGTGACAGTTTTTTGCTTGTCCCCCACGTTACTCGGCTACCATCTTAGACTAGAGTTTACGGCTACCATGATACAAAAACATGCTCGGCTACCGCCATGTTAAGCCGGTTCCCAACATTTTTTCTATGCGCTAGTTCAGTGATGATGTAATTATGGTTCCACTGACAATTAAAGTGACAGTAGATTTTTTGAGTGCGTTTTGTTCGTTTTGTTTTCCTAAATTATATCGTTTTTTTCACTTTTATAAATATATTCCTAAAGTAAGTAGATAGCATGTATCAAATATACAATCGTTTAGTTACCAATTACATTCCTTTAAACTATTTTATAGAACCTGTAAACAATATTTTGAAATAAAATAAAAACAGTAAAAACGTATATGTCAAATGTATTGATGTTTTTGTTAAAAGTTTGGTTAGAATTAAATGTCAGTGGAACCAAAATGACATCACACTGAACTAGCGCATTGATTTACGGTACTGGATGTCATCTTTGATCTCACATCTAATGTCTACATCTCATCTAATACATCCCAATTTGTAAATTATCTAGCAATTTCAGGCGTGGAACACTACATCGATGTATGTGGAACTTCAATTTTAAGTTGGCTTATCCCCATCAATATTTATAACCAGAGGATTGGTTTTTTGGAAGCGGTCGCTTGTATTATTATTTTGTGACACATGTCTAAGTTTTTCTTTCTTGTTATTTTCATTGAACCTAGGCACGTAAAAAAATATGACACTCCCACCACTCCATTTTAGATGATATAAAAATAAAACAATCACAGTAGTTCTCTATATTCAAACTTTTCATCAAACAGTCTAACTAGTGATTAAAAAAAAAACCTAATTGTTTTTTCTAAATAATATATTGCGCCACCTAGCAGCAAGTTACAGTCTTTCGGGTGATTGAACAGGCAAATTGGAAATTATATTAAAAAAAAATCTTGCGTACTTCAATATTGCTTTAATAAAAATGGATTTTACATAAAATATATAAACAAATAACTTTATTATAATTCTTTGACAAATATACTCTTACATTTTTAACACTTACAGCTATTGATAAACTCACAACTTTTAACAATTGTGCACGGGCACTAAAAAAATATATGCTTAAATAACTGCAAAAAGAGTTTAATGAAAAGTTTAGGCTTTAAAAAATTTAAACTTTGAAGATGACTTAACATTAAGAATAAAAGGTCCTTCTTGTTGAGGCTTGAAAGTGGAAGGTATTATCCTTAAAATGCCTGCAGGAATTACTGGAAGGTCCAGAACTACGTAACCAGACCTATAAAAATAATTTACAAATTAGTTGTCCAGTTAAATAATTTATTTTTTTGTTATACAGTGCAACTCTAAACTGCAGTAGATATCAATTTGTCCTAAATGATAAAATATTGTTAATTTGTTTTGGCCAAAAAAATTAGTTTTTGCAAAAAAAGGGGAGCGGTGGTGGGATACTTTAAAAGAGGGACGGAGAGGATGAACAACGAGGGGAAAGGTAGGAAACGGGGAGGAAGGGGTGAGTTGGGGGGCGCAGCGAGGAAGGAGAAAAGGGACAGGCTGATGGGGAACGGATCGTGAATCTGATGGAATTGTTCCAAATATAGATAATATGAATCCATTTGTAATGATATAAGGGATATGGAGACACAAGATGTCCCAAGGGCTACTAACTACCCCTAAATAAATTGCAGACATAATTAGCAGACTCCCCAACAGGAAAGCTTCGGGACCTGATGGAATAACAAACATACTCCTAATGAATTTATCCCGTAAAGTAATAGTACAATTAGCTGAAATTACAATGTTACCCAATTTCTTTAAAAACTGCTAATATCATACATAAAACAGGGAAAAAGGGACAAATAGAAAGCTACCGCCCCATTTAGATACTAAGCGGGATAGCAAAAGTAGTAGATCGTACCCTGTTAACACGGTTAAAGACACACGAACAGGACAAAGAGATCATCCGGTTTCAGAGCCGGCTATAGTACCTCAGCACAAGTTATATGTATCGCGCATAACACAAAAAAGCGTTCAATAATAAAATGCGAACTGTCCTTGTAGCTTTAGAAGCTGCTAAGACATTTGACACAGTCTGGACTGATGGGTTGATCTACAAAATGTCTGAGAATGACTACCCTGTTTCCATTGTAAAAACAATTCAAACTTACATGACAGGAAATTCTACATTAAATTCAATAATACTATAAATGGACCGTACTCAGAACAGGCCGGGGTACCCCAGGGTTCGGTATTGGCGCCGCACTTGTATACCATAATGACCCATGATATGTCAATGGGTCAAAATGGTATAAAAACGGCCCTGTACGCCGACGACACTTGCCTGTATAAAAAAGATTCAGCCGAAATTTCGCTAAGAAGGTTGGACATTCATCAACATCAACAGAACGTTAGTTCATTAACTGGATGAAAACAAGATAAAAATCAATGCTTTGAAAACTGAAAGTCTAATATTAACTAAACGCAAAATTGACAGTATTAAAAGTTAGTTGAAAGTGCAAGGGCAGGCAATTAACACTGGCAATAAAATGAAATAACTTGATTTCATCCTTGATAGAAGACTAACATTCAGGTAACATATTGAAGACAGGTCAAATAAAAAGTTTGTTGTTTTGAAGACTTTATACTTCCTTCTACATCGTAGCAGTGGGGTAACCACTCAAAATAAACTGATCTATAAACAAGTTCTAAGACCAATTCTAACGTACGAAAATCCAGTCTTCAATGGCCAATACACATCAACAATTACAGAGAATGCAAAACAAGTGTCTTCGGCTCGCACTGGAGGTGCGACTGTTATACCAGAATAGACGATATGCACATGCAAACATCCATATAAACAATTAAGAAACATGTATTAAGACTTGCTGAGAAGTTCTACAGGAATTGCCTTCCCAATAGTCTTAAGACATATTTTCAACTCACGAAGGGGATGGGGCAAGCAGGAAACATGGATGCTTGCATGAGAAGCTACAAATTTACAAACGAGATAGGTAAACAGGACAAAATAAAGCGACTTCTCCAATACTGGCGTGTTAATTCAAATGGTCGTATCTGTTTAATACTTGAACGTAAGAAACATCGATTTTTCAAGAAAAATCACTTACGTCCAAATTTCTAAGCGTTAAATTTGGGGTTTTATAGAAGATAAATTCATGAAAGTTAAAGAGATGAACAAAAAATTCATTGTTGTAATGCGTAGTAGTCATACCTTTATTTCAAGGAAAATTGTAGTTACGGCCATTTGAATTAACACGGCAGCATAACAGTGACAAACATACTGAATAGTCAAATCAAATTCAACCACTTGCCACTAGGAATGGTCGGATGCAAGTCTGCACGGTGACGTCACTGGTCTGAGGTGAAATCGGGCTCTCGATTTCGCTCCAGATCACTGCCGTTTCTGTGTAGACTCTAGATTTGGCTAAACATACGATAAACTAAGACATGACACACATACATACAAGGACATCCCTGTTTTTTACAAGTAATTTTTCAGGGAAGACACCCACATAAGTAAAATCAAACAAAACTATAGACATTACTCTACTGCCGACACAACAAACAAGTCAAAATTAATATATTGTTACGCAGGTTTTTGGTAACTCAATTTATTTTAACTCTTTTATAATTTAATTGTATAACTGATAACATGAACTTATCACGTCTATCATAAAACTCCCTCTGACGTCAGGAGCACCGACTGATATAGCTCGCTTAAATCTTCTAGAACCTTCCCGAAACGTTCAGATGTTTCTTGACATAGAATGACGTTTCTCGAATATTTTCCCTCTTCTTTTACTCGCACCTTTACTTCTGACAACCGCAGCACACTGTACGGTCATGGGTAACATTATAATGCTACTTTAAGCAAGGAGATATTGGTAATAACGAAAATTGGGATTATTAGGGGGGTAGTAATTGCGGCTATGCTATCGGCAATGGCCTACTTTTCAGGTCTGGAATTCAAGATAGAGCTTCCAGAAGATCTTCAAGAAGCAATTTTGAATACATATAAATTATTATCCTGTAATAAAGAATGTAAAATGAATGAAAATAGGTAACAAAAGCGATGCATTTAGACAAAATCATATTATCTGTTATATGTTCAAGACTGTTGGGGTAGAATGTATATTTGAATAATAGTGCTTTGAAATTTAAATGAACTGTTTTTTACTTCTTTGTTGGGCATCGATTGGATAAGAACAAGTTTCCAGTTATTTATAAAAACACTACTATCATAAGAAAGTTGAAAAACACGGGAGAAAATAGAAGCTAGCTCAGATGTACATTTTTTATGATAGTTTGTGGATATTAGGATTTGACAGAAATTTTAGCCATTTTAATATTTAAACAATTTGGGCTTTTTTGTGAGGAATGGTGCTGCAAGGTACTTGAATTTTGATGGTACATTGAAAGTGGAAATTGCTCTGAGAATATTCTGTTTTAGCCTTAGCAGTGAAAATTCTTTAATTATTAATCAAGTAATCAAATTCTGCTACAGAAACAGTTCAAAATAATTGAGTCTCGATATAACTTTATATCTAATCTGCAGTGAAGATACGATTATATTGTTTTCTCACTGCAACAGCCACAGATTCTTAAATGTACCTACAACAGGAATTGAATATTTTTGAGAAGCATCACAGTGTCTATATTAAACAATTTTAAATTTGGGGTGACAGTTTTTGAATTTATGTGATATTAAAGCCTCATTTGCAGCCTGCATAATTTTTAATTATCGCTGAACAAAAATTTGTATAGGAGGAACATGTTTGAATATAGCTACTCATCGAAAATAATTCATCACAATCCATCACAAACAATAGAATTGTACCAGATTGTAATGGTGAAACTTATTGTCTTTAAATATCTAATTTTAAAAACACATTGACTACATACAGTATCAGCTATCGAAAGCTATCCAATTGTAACATGAACTTAGTTCATGTTGACTTTCTCATAATTATGTTTTAATATTTTCCAATTAAAATTCAAATATTGTTCAAGTTGTTCCATCTAACAGGAAATAGTATAATTAAATTATTATGATTTAAGGATTTCTTGTCGTGGACAGCATACATGAGGCAAGACGAACGGGTTCATATATTTTTCACTCTGATTTCTGTCGTCAAAAAGATGCATGTCGTTATCTTTTTGTTAACTAAGAATTAAAGGCTGGGGTAAGTCTAATCATTGATTACTGTGTTTTAGAGTCATTTTCTTATTCTAGCTGCTGTTTAATAATTGTGTTTGTCAAATTGGATGTCTTTAAATTTAAAATCACGTCGGCTGCCATATTTAAAATAGTCAGAAATGTATGCAGTAATTTTGGTTTAAAATATATATTATGTCCTAAAAAAATGGAAGTTGTTTCCTCACAAAAAAACATTCCTTCCTTTAAAGACATCCTTTTTTTTATTAATAAATCATTTCCATATCTTTCTTTTCCTAATTCAGAATGATTCCCGGCTCTTACGGAGGCTTTTAAGAAGATTTTTGAGGCATTTAGAATAAGTTCTTACCTAGAGAATTTTTAAGAAGACCTTAAATTGATAGCTGTACCATAATAAGTCAATAAACGATTCCTTACCCAGAATCAATCAGTTTCTAAGGATTTCCGCTTGTTTTTCTCTATACTAAGAAGTGGAATTATCGTAGAGATACTCCAAGGTTCCTGAAGTCAAGAACGAAAGTACACCCAGAAGATTAGCGCAGCAGTACCCAACAATTCCATTACCATATCAGCTAAGCTTTTATTTTTTTTATGACAGATTAATTAATTCAATACTTTTTTGATAATCACAATTTTCTAACGATTAATATAAATACTCATATCTTGCAAATTATTAAACAAGCTATTATTTTTTAAGTAGATCTCATTATTTCGAATTTATTTGTGGGAGTTAGAGGTTGTGATTTACTCTGGCTCCAAAGATGCTTTTTCTTAAGTTATAACAAATCACTGACGCCCACAAGTAACTTCTAGGCACCCTCCACCTTTCCTAGTAACTCCATAAAAAGCAAGGACGACCCAGCCCTGAGCTGTGCGTATGAAAACTACAAAGAGTTAGCATTACAGCAAGCAGGAAACAATTTCAGCAATGTCTGTTTATACGGCCGTTCAACATTACAACGCTGTCGGACCTGTAAAGCGTCGAGATATGCTAATATTCAGGGGGTTCGTAGGTGAAGAAGGTTACCCAATCAAACGAAGAATAAACAGTTTTACAATTAGGTCATCGAACAAATAACTTGTCAAAAGAAAGTTAGCGTTTATCTTATCAAACTACCGGATATTGCAAAAATAATAACTAAAATGTAAACTATATGTGTCAGTCACATTGTGACCCATATTAGCCGTGTCACAGTTCATTGGCTACTACCCACCTGCATCTCGCCGGTTACTTTAGGTGATCTCTTGTCCACCCCTCTCACCGCACTCATTACCGAACTACCGAAAATGTTACGTTTTCGCACTTCACGTCCAGGCCAGACGGACATGATTATCGTTATTATTTAATTCTAAAGGGCGGACTGAGGATGGAGTGCAGAGTTTGATTAATATTTATTGATTGATTTACAGGCCGTATAAACTGGCAACGCTGATATTATTCGTTTCCTGCTTTCTCTAATGTTAACTATCTGTAGTTTTCACATGCCTTGTGCAAAACGTATTGGAAAACGTTGAATGGCCGACACTGCATACCAGAATATTCTGCCAATTTTTAAACAGTACAACTTAAGAAGTTTATGTATTCACCGATAAGATCCTGAAGATGTTGATCTAAATGGTGCGGTTACAGTTTCATCTTTCACTTGCTGTATCAGAACTTCTACACCCATTTGATACTGTTTGGGACCTTTCAGTTCTATTAATATATTAGAATCAGAGTCTATATCAATTACAAACTTGGGATTGTTTGGGTAAGTCATTGGATGATTTGGACAACCTCCTGCTGAAAGTCCTGCCCATTCGCCTGTAATCTATAAAAAAAATGTTAATGTTTTTGGTTCAACATATTCAAATATATCCTTAATTTCTCGTTATGGACAGTAGAGATTGGAGTTAGTAAATATATTTCATTTTCTTTGGCTCACATTATATGCAGAGCTGGCCAGAGTTAAAGTACGTTAAAGTACGTTAAAGTACTCATGAATACTTTACAATGAGTAACTTTACAAAGTACGCACGAGTATTTATCTGAATAATACTCAAAGCAAATGAGTATTTTTGCAAATTTTAGAGAGTACTAGTGAAAAATCGAGTGAGGAGTATGAGTACCATACCTATTTTAAATAATTCTAGTCAGTGACTCATGTTTAGAAAAAAGGAATTATAATAATTAGTAATAGTAAGTCAATAAGTAATAAACAAAAACATTTTAATGTTAAAGTAAAGTAATTAAGGTATTAGAACTATCATATATTTTAAATTATATGTTGCCATGATTCCGCCATTTGACATATTCTTAGCTTTTCCGTCCTGTATCTTTGGCGACAATAAGTTATTCGGAATTGCCTTAGGGTTGTGATTCCGATGGTAGTGGGATTTTGAAAATTAATGGAATTGTCAGATATATTTTTGGAAGTTTGATAGAGGGTTTTAGAATTGTCAGTTGGGCTATTTAAAAAAGTCAGAAAATATTATATTGAAGTTAAGACAGATAGATTTTAAAGTTATAGATTTTATTCCATGGAGATGAAATAATAAAAAAAGCATAAAAAAGAAGGATGAAGAAAGTTTTATTGAAATTAAAGATAAGTGTGAAGAATAGGAAGAACTTAGCAGGAAGGAAAGTTCGTCAGAAGGAGAAGTAAGAGGAGAAATTAGTAGAAAACAGCAAGAAGAGACCAGGCAGGAGAATAGGAAGTACAAAAAGTCAGAGCAGAACGCAGACGAACAGGGAGCAAGAAGAAAGAAGCGAAACGAAGCGAAGTGGATGATTTAGATTTTCTTTTCAAATTCAACATTTATTAATTAGTATTAATATTAGTTATTTTTTGAAATTTTTGTGGGAAGCCAAAGAAGCCATAACCCTAAAATCTCTAAAATATTGGAATGGTTTAACCTTTCCAAGGTGGAATCACTATAATATATATGCGCGCATCGGTACTCGTACTCCTTAGCTGTAAAGAATAAAAGTACTATAAGCACTCTAAAATATAAAGTACTCAAAATGTTTTGAGTATGAGTTCCATCAGGATGAAAGTACCAATTACTGAGTACTTTGAGTACTCAAGTACAATTTACTCGAGTACTGCCCAGCCAGCTCCGATATGTATGTATTTTGAGTTTTAATATTTATTTTCTTATATAAAAAACTTACCTGTTGTTCATATTTATAAGGATCAATGATTTTGGCCAGAGTAAAAGGTAAGGTGGCATATGCTCTTAAAGAATAATAAATGGTGTTAGATTTTTCATACTGAGATACAACCACAGTATATTTTCTAGAAGATCCAGGTTTTAAGATAATTTTACAGAGATAATGAGGACTGTTAATTTTTACTCCATCAATAAAGGGCGGAGGATCAACTAAAATAATGTTGTAAAATGATTTTGTTGTCGTGAAAAAATGGTTTAAAACTTACATGGATAGTATACTTTCCTTCCCCCTTTGTATACAAATAAAGTTATATATTCCTTATTATCCTTAAAATCGTCAATGTCTGTAATGTGTCTCGTCAATAGTAACCAAACGGCTCCTACTGTATCGCCAGGTATATCAAGACTAAATTGTGGGTTTGACGAAATAGTATAAAGATCTTTTACGGGACCTGTACCAGCATTCCAAGACCTACAAAGTCAAATGTTGTTAAAGTTTCAACTTGGTTCAAATAACCTCAAAATGTCCATATTGAAAAAATATAGTTTTTATAATTCCTTTTGGCATGCTGCTACAATGTCAAGAAATATTTCCAACAGAAATTGGCTACGACGTTTGAGACGTCAGGGAACGCGGGCAGCATGTACGCATTAGGCATTCCAACAACCTGTCAAACTGCTGACAAGTGGGAACTGCTATTTTGATATGGCAACCCTGTGATCCTGTTGTCATTGACAGGGTCAAAGATACATATATAGTTATATAGATTGCTCATAGCGGGTCGTTTGCGAGCGGCTATATTGCCTCGCAAGTGCTCATTAATCAGAATCGATTTTGCAAAAATGTGTTTACAAACCAATATTTAGCCTTTGAATATAGTAAAAAAAAAGAATTACCTACATTATTACTTCAAGGCATAATCTTATGTTTATTTTGAAAAATATTGATGATCAATCTATATAACTATCTATTTCATGCGCTAGTTCAGTGATGATGTAATTATGGTTCCACTGACAATTAAACTGACAGTAGATTTTTTGAGTGCGTTTTGTTCGTTTTGTTTACCTAAATTATATCGTTTTTTTCACTTTTATAAATATATTCCTAAAGTAAGTAGATAGCATGTATCAAATATACAATCGTTTAGTTACCAATTACATACTTTTAAACTATTTTTTATGACCTGTAAACAATATTTTGAAATAAAATAAAAACAGTAAAAACGTATATGTCAAATTTTTTGATGTTTTTGTTAAAAGTTTGGTTAGAATTAAATGTCAGTGGAACCAAAATGACATCACACTGAACTAGCGCATTGACCTTGTCAAATCACCAAGCCTACAGGGTTGCCATAATTTTGTCATATCATAACCTGTCAAAACCCACTGGTAGTCATTTTGTTTGGAATGCCCAATACAAACAGTGCATTGTTGTCAGGACGAATACATTCAATATCATAAGGGAAAAAAATAGATTTGTATTAGGAGAATTAAGCGACGATGGCATCGCTGCAAATTTTTTAAAACGCACAGTCAACTTATATCTAGATTAGCCACCTGTCCTTTTTTTTTAAAGGACCGTCCTTTTTGAAGCAAAATGTCCTTGCGACTTTATAAAGCTTTAAATGTCCTTTTTTACGGCATATGTCCTGTTTTACTATTTGATATCTTTGAAAGGGACTTTTCTTTTTAGAAGCGCGGTAGAAGGACGCAGACTTTTTTTTTGTGAAACAGTCGTCGACCTTTTTTTAGTTTTTTTTTTTTTTTGAAGTTCAGTAGAATGTTTGAGGCCCTTTTGTATACCGGATGATCCCCTATCGGCATCATAGTCATTTTTGCACTTTTCAAAAAGGTGGTAACCCTAACTATATCCCTTTAGAAAGTTTAGATTAAAATCACATACCAAACAGGAAGAAATAAGTACGCTGAATAAATTCAATAAACACTTTTAACAACTTACTGATGAATACAATAAGTATGTCCAAATAAATCAGGATTCCAGTTCATATAAAATACATCATAGAAACTAAGCAAACTGTCATAATCTATCCAAAATACACCATTGTCAAATTGAGCGGCACTGGAAGGGTCAAAATTGAGTCTCCTCTGCAATTCATGAGTCCATCGCCTGGTATCCAATTCGGAGTAATTACCTCGCCATCTTAAATGCGACCAAGGATTTTTAAGCTTGAACAACCTAACCTAAAAAGAAAGCAGTAATAATAACGTTGTACATAGTACGTAGTAATATAGGCAGTCTCATATTAGTTTGCTACCGGAAATGCGTTGTTACAAAATCATATCCATAAGAATGTACTCAGATTGAAGCAATAATACACGATTTTCAAATTTAAACAATAAATAATAGCTTTCTTCATATGCAACATTTTTCGAGGAAGGTGCCGTTTTCGGCATGTGATCATTTAAACTTATGTGCGGCAGGAAAATCATCAATACGTCTCTAACTTTCGGAATGAATCACTTCGTTATTTTTAAGCGATTTGAGAGAAGTTGGACATTATTTGTCCTTGTCCACCGCGATTTTTTTAGATCTATTATCTATTGTGGGGCTCCGTTATTCGCTCCGTGCGCGATAGCAGCGCCAATTCGTTTTGATACTAATGGACTATTTCTGCGTATACTGACAAATACAATTTTTATTAGAATTCTTAATTAAAAAGTATATATGTTAGTTTTAATAAAAGTATATGGATTTGTAAAATAAGTAAAACATTAATTTATTATTGTTATATATTTTTATCGCTTAAATTATAGAAAATTATGTATAATCAATAAAATTCAATAATAAAATATAGACAGGCAACAGTATTTACTGGAAAATGTATGAGAAGTTGCCTAAGTCGTCATTGAAGAATTAGCTTATTCTGTCAGAATAAAAAATACCATTTAATAATAACGTGAAGTTAAAATGTATAAAAAAAGGATCGTTATTTATATTTTCATTTTTGTTCGGAAGAAAACATAGAATGAATGATTAAATATGGTTTCCTATCAGTAAGTCACAAAATTTCATTCCAGCTACATATAATAATCAAAGGCAGAAATCTTGAAATCTAGTCCTTGCTGAATGAACATTTAAGAATAAAGAGATATTAAAGAACATCGTAACATGATAATGTATTGTTTATTTAAAACCTTTCAAGTTTCTGATATCTACTATTTCCAGCATTACTGTTATTATTACAAAAATAAAGGTAATTTTTCTTCTTATCGTACACCTATCCATTTATTTCTTTGATTTAATTTCCACTTTGCTACTGAAATTTTTTATATAAGTTTCACTGCTTTTTCTGCTAGTATTTGTCCAATTTTCAACACAGCAACTCCGGTTGCTTATTGTATTGTTTTTACCTACTTTTCTGAAAAAAAGTAAAATGTATACGTGTATTTGATATGCCAAAATTACAAAATATCGCCCTAAAATGCACGAATTATCCGCAGCTAGCGCTAGTATCGATTTTGCTTCCCTTTCCATGACTTCGCACGGAGCGAATTTAGAGTATGTCATTTAGGTTGGTCCTTTTTTATTAGACTTAGTAGCTTTGACAGTGGCTCCCGCATATAGTTTTTTTTTCTGTCCTGGGCTCATCTGACTATGTGTCTCCGAATAACACTGAAGCCTATTGGCTTATTGTGTTTTACCCCATGTTAGTTCATAGCACCCACTCTTTTACCTTTGTACCTTGTACAAGTTTGTACAGATCCTTGGGTGAGCGGGTTCTATACGTTGTTGGATCAACCTGGGGTTGTCCAAAAAGAGCCTGTCTATTGCTATCTAGAGCTTAGACCCGTCTGTATACCAGGTTTGTTCCTGTCGTTGGGCATTGGGCTCCCTTATGATGATCTCCGCTCTTTCCTGTATTAAAACCTCAAATGGAGTATTAAAAGAGTACCTCTTGGTTATGTGGTCTGATCTCATGTCTAGCACGTCGCTTGTCACTAACCTTGAGATACTCACGTAACCTGGCCTAATGTCAAAATTTCCCAGTATATTCCCTAATCTTTGACAGTGGCTCCCGCATATAGTTCAATGCGTCTGGCTTTTCTTCGCCTCAATCTAGCCAGGCCTTTACAGTGGCACAGGACGTGGACTGATGTTCCCTTTTTTCTACACAGAACCTGCAAAATGTTGCTTCTTCTGCCGAATTGATGACACTCATGTGACTTCTTAGGCGACAGTGTCCTATAAGAAAGCCCACTGTTACCCCAACGATTTGACGTTTCTGATCCAATAGGTATTTCGTAAACTTGGACGATGGTTCCTTGATGAACTGGTTAGCCTGTTTCAATATTGGATAGTTGTTCCACTAGTCCTGAGATTCTTTCTGCACAATGCCTTTGCAACTCCACAGATGGGTTCGGGGCCTGTCATGGCCTTATCTGAGCCTTCTCGGGCTAGTTTGTTGGTCTTTTCGTTGCCCTGATATACCTTGTGGCCTAGCACCCAGGCTAGGGATACTTTGTTTTGACTACAAAGCTCTGCTAGGGCTTCTAGGCAGTCTTTCACCAGTTGTGATTTGATTTCTGGTGAGAGAATTGCATTTAGAGCTGCTTGGCTATCAGAGTAGATGGCAATCCTTTCCAGATACTGATTTATTATTTATATAAATAAAAATTTCCTTCGTTTATTCGATCATATTTTTATTTTCTAGTGTTTAGCACTACATGTTTCGTAAAAAAAATTTCCATCTTCGGGTGCAGTCAAAATTTAAAAAACACATGGACACGATTACAGTTTAAAAATTTTTAAAATTATTTATCTTGCACAGTATTGTATATCTATTAGTTCAGCCTGGAACCCTCTGTTGAATATTATCCTAGACTCAGTGAAATCATTGTTTTCAACTTGGATACAAAGATTCCAGCACCAGCTCCTTCCTTGGTTTATGAACCGTCTGTATACCTGATGAGTTCAGCCTGTATGGGAGGTGTCTGTTTCCAGGATTCTCAGGTTGGTATTTGAATATAAAAATTTCTTTCAAATTTGTATGTGGTTATGGCTATATCAGTAGGCATTCCTAGAATATTATCCTTTTTTACTTGCTGGTATAGCCTTGTATGGTCAGCACTATGAAGTTGGCTTATTGGGTTTGTCCCTGCATTATCCTGTGAATAATAAACCTGGTTCCTCCTTGTATGAAGACGTGCCAGTGCCCCAGTGCCCCAGTGACATTCAGATAGGCGAGGCGCTGAATGCCAGTGAGTTGGCCTATTGCACTTACCTGTGCGATTTTGGTTACCCACGCAGCACGCTACTGCGCCATATGTTATCATGGGTCTTATCACCCTTGTGTATAACTATATTGTCATTTTGGAGCTTAGGCCCCAGTTTTTCATATTCTTCTTCAGCTTACTTGTAGCTTTGTATGAGACTTTTTTGAATGTTGACTCCATGTCAGCCTTAGGTCAAATATGACTCCGAGGTATTTGGCTTCTGTGACAATAGGTATAACCATGTTGTTTAGTACTAGTGGTCTTAGTCCTGTTTAGAGCTGTTTGAGATTGCTCCGAGACTGTGGGTGCAAATAGTCCCCTGACGATAATTGCTAGGTCGCCTGAGTATCCTTCTTTGGACAATATTTTGAATAGGTCATCCACTAGAACTGACTGCAGCAATGGAGATAGTATTCCTCCTCGTAGACAGCCCTGTGTAACTTTTGTCTGTATGGTTGCCTTTCCTAGAGTGGATAAACTGAGGCTGGCATTGATCCAGTGGCATATTGTGATTGGAACGTTTATCTGTTCTAGACACTTCGTTATTGACCTGGTTGAGGCATTATTGAAAGATCCTTCAATATCTAAGAAAGTGGCTATTGCGATTTCTTTGTCATCTATTGACTTTGAAAGCAGCCATTTTAGATCGTCCAGTGGTAGGTCAGTTAACTATCCTGGCTGGTATGCATATTGGTTGGGATGGAGCAGATTTATTTTTAGTATCACGTCCCTGATGTACCTGAATCTTTCCAGTGTTTTTAGTAAGAAGAACGATAGACTTATACGACGATATGACTTTGGCGTTTGGTCTGTGACCCTACCTACTTTGGCAAGGTAGACTACTTTCCTAGCGCTTGTGGTGGTCTCTGAGACCTCTTCGCAGAACTTATTTCATGAGTGTCCTTTAGCCTTGTGTACTTCTTTGTTATACTCTGTGAGCTTATTTTTATCATTTACTTCGCCGTCTACGTATACACTATCATCGCGACATTTCAAAGAGGCTATCAGAATGAGAGGGTCTTTGGAACGGTTTCGGGCCGAAGCTGCCCCCTCTAGGCCGACTCGCTCTAGTTTTCCTGTGGCGTGTTGTCTTGATTTGTTGGGACCCTAGGGCGTTTGCACGAACTGCGTACATGTCCCAGTTCACCGCAATTCCAGCATCTGATGGTCTTCGTCTTTATCTTTCTGTCGGTAAGGCTCTTCATCATGTTTACCAGTTGGTCGAGTTTACCTTCCTCTTCTTCTTCTCTTACAGTCCTTACTTTACTGTATCCACCAGAAGCCTTCGTGGCTGCCTCATATTCTAAAGCAGCGGACAAGACATCGACCAATGTTTTGTGGCGAGCTAAGCGGAGTGTTTTCTGCATCTCATGGTCACGGAGTCCATCAACAAATGTTTGGACTGCCAAACATTCCATCATGTTTTCCGGAGCTGATGGATAGGCAAATCGCACCAACCTGGCAATATCTACTTCATATTCCTGAAGAGTCTCGTCTCGTTTCTGTTTACGATTCTTCAACTGTGACTGGTATAAATACTCCAAGTGTTCGTGGCCATATCGCATATTTAGTCTCTTTTTGAGTTGTTCAAAATCATCTGTCTCTTCCACGGGTATAGTCTGAAGGACATCCAAAGGGTCTCCTCGAAGGGCGATGGTCAAATTTATTGCCTTCTCTCGTTCAGACCACTCGTTTGCTCTGGCAGCTGTTTCGAACTGCTTAAGGTAGTTCGTCCATGACATCTTTCCGTCGAAAGTTGGGGCCTTAACACGAGGAGAGTTTACAGCTCCTTCCAATTTCAACTTCGACTCCACCTCATGGCACTTTATTTCACCGTCCTTGGCAGGTTCTGTATGTTCGAGTTCTTCTATCTTCTTTTCCATCTCTTTTATTTTCTCTTCAACGGAAGACATTATTTTCTCCTCAACGGAAGTCATCTTATTTTCCACATCAGCAGAAATTTCATTTTTTAGTGAAGACATATCAGAAGAAATTTCATCTTTCAAAGAAGAGATTTTGTTTTCTAAATCGGAGGAAATTTCGGTTTTTAAAGAAGATATGTCAGAAGAAACTTTAGTTTCTAAAGAAGAGATTTCGTTTTTCACAGAAGAAACATCAGAAGACACCTTTTCTTCTAAGGAATAAATGTCTGAAGAAACTTTAGTTTCTAATGAGGAAATGTCATTTTTTATGGAGGAAATCAGAAGAAATGTCGATTTTTATAGTTGATATTTGAGTTTCTAACGAAGAAATTATAGAAGATGCATCATCCGAAAAAAGGTACGTTTCCGGATCCAAACCTTCACTTATTAATTCTTCTTTAAGCCGCTCTGCCAGTGTTCTGCTTTCTTCCCTGTCGTCTCCAACTCCCGACGTAGCTCGGTCACTTTTAAATCACACAGTCTTTTAGCCATGATTGTCCACTATTTATTTACACTATTCCACTTCTCGACACCAATGTGATGTTTGTTTATTTTCAAACAACAGTTTATTTATTAATAATTTATTTAAACAATACTATTTTAATTTATATATACTTCGAATGTCTTTAAACTAATCACTATTTATATTCACCACTGTCTATCTACTAATTACTATTTATCTTCACTGTCCATATATCAACTGATGAGAAGCTTCTCCACCAAACCAGAAATATTTCGAACAGTCCGGAAATATTACCTCGTCCTTTCTCGAACATCATCGAAATCACCTCCGCCATAGTCGTCCCATAGGTTTGGTCGTAAGGGGTTTAATTATGTATAATAGTCGGACAAGTTGAGCCTTAAAGGCCAAATAAGACAGAGAGGGACTTGTAGGGTTAGAGCATGACTGAATAATGAAATGGTTCACATTACAATAACTTCGGCTTGGCAGTCAACGTGTTTTGTTTTTTTTTTTTTTTGAAAGATATTTAATTGTTTATTTAAAATCATTTTGTACTATTAAAAAATATTGTAATGTTTAAGGTTTTTGAGAAAGACAAAAATTTAACTTTTATTCAATATTATACACCTATTTTTTATTTTCTCAAAAATTATTAACATTATGATATTTCAATTAGTAATATGCATCAGGGCGATAAGAGACTTTTCAGTCAGAAGCTTTGAGAATTAGGGTATTTATGTAAGTTTTTAAAGCAGTGTTTTAATGTTATTAGGTAATGGTTAGTGACTTTAATGTAGTAATTTTAGAATTTTCTGATATTCTGTATGGTACAGCTCAATACATATAATAAATAAGAAAATGAAATTATTTAGTGGAAACTACATCTTTTTAGAGTAGGTAATAAGCCAAGCATTTAAAGCAAAAATTTTGTCTAAATGTGTGTGTTGCAGTTGTAAAACTAATCATGTGAAATATTAACTTTATTTAGTGTTGTAACATTAAACACTGTTTTTTTGCAATTTGAAATAAATAATCTTTGAAATTAATAGTGACACTAAAATATTCAGTAAAAAAAACAACATACACCATCCACAGTTTGTACATCCATAACGGCATACGCATGTGTTGGCACTAGTCCACTGCGTTGTGCTTCTATATCTGATAGTTCCCCAGTTGCAACTGTCACTAAAACATCACCTTTAGCCAATCGGCTTTCAATTTTTTGAAAGAGAGCATCTTTGTTGAATTCTGGATTATTTTTGATCGAGGCTCTTTCTGGTATCCAGCCAGTAAGGGCGTGCAAATCGATGTTCTAGAAAGGATAAAAACTAGAAGAAAAAATATACAATTGTAATTTAAACCTAAAGTTCGGAGATAACCAAAACTCCTAGACCAAACAATAATAATAATAAACGTCTTTATTATTTTCAATTAGTAAATACAAGTATAATTAATAACACAACATAAAAAGATTGAAAATAAAGGGTGAAGTTTATTTTTGATTATGTTATGGACACAATCAAAAATATTCTTCCACTTAACCCTACTTAACACCACAATATAAAGTTTAAGAAATTTATCAACTTTCTTAGAAACATGGAATATTAAAACTTATTCATAGAAAAAAAAAACTTAAATTTTATTATTAGAGGAGGTGGTACTTTGGTGAAGCATCTTCTCACCAACCCCACCATGTTAATTATTTGAATGGTTAATTTTAACATGTAAGATATGATAAGTAGTCTGGTTCATAATGTTTTTAATAAATCTTTTATTTTAGTGGTAATTTAACCATATTTTTTGTTTTTATTGTTTCTTAACAATTTGAAACAAAAGATTTGCAGAATTGCATTTTTAAATGAATGAAATATAAGATATATTACCCAATTATTGTACAGGAGGATGAGTAAAGATAAAATTATAAGATTGATTGACTTACCTGTAAGCAAGATCAATCCAAGTTTGTCAAACACATCCTCCTGTACAATTGGGCGTTCTGTTGAGCCAATAACGGAATATAGATAGCTTGGCGACAGGAATGCCGGGTAAAAAATATTTCAAATACGGAGAGGTATTATTAATATGATACTGCAAGGTGGTCAATTATACAGGAGGATTAGTTAGACAAATTTAGATTGATCTTTCTTACAGGTAAGTCAATCAATCTCATAATTGTTGAATTTTTTTGGGTATTACCTAATAATGAGAGAAAATATTAGAAGGATATTAATCCTTAATAACATGTTAATTAATGAAACTTGGGATACTTAAAATGATTTAAACATTGTTTCTATTGGTAACTGAAGTAACCATCGAAGATGACATTTGCCATGCTATTTTATGAAAAGTTTAGGATAAATATTTACTTAATATGTGTTTGCCATGTATTTGTTATCTAAATTATTTGGAATTGGGGGAATTCAATTATATAATTTAGAAAAATGAAAAGTTTAGTTTAAATTTTAATTTAATATGCATTTGTCATGTATTTGGGATAATGTGATTAATGACACCTCGATTAAAAGGTATTTTAAATACATGTTTAACCTTAATAATTTTGTTTTTGTTTTCAGTAGTTGCATGATTCCATTTAAAAACAATATTCAAAATGGCACAACATCATATTTTTTGCTTATTCCTGTTACCATTATAAAAATTGTTTAATCGGTTTTTCTTGCTTTTAAATGTAACCATTCAAGAGATTACATGAGAAAAAGTGACTTTAGATGAGTAGTACTGAATTGTTTATTTATAAAATTATTATACAATGTATGGAGACAGGTAAGGTAACAAACGAATTTGAATTTGACATAAAATTATAAAAACTTTTATCTGCATTCAAACCCCCATTAAGATAATAAATATTTAATACTTGTCTTTTTTTTTCTACATTTTCAATCTTGTGGGATATGTAGGTAGTTAATTTTAAATAAAAAAACGAAAGCTTTCAAAATAAGAAAATACTTACACTATTGCTGCCTGGGAAATCATATCCTCCCATAACTTTCATATAAGCCTTTTCTAAGAGTGAAATCCAAAATTCATTTTTATTAGCAGAATAAGAACATAACAACCTTCCATACTTATCTATTGGCAAACTGTCATCTATTATCACCTTCCTGGGAATACCATTAATATGTAATTTGATCATATATTTTCCAAATGGGTTGTATAATGGTCTTTTGTCCTTTGTTTGTGGGTATATTATAGCTGTCACCAATTTTCGACCAAATCTGTCAAAAAATTTTTTAGTACAACCAAAAGTTTAACTACAAGTTTTCTATACTTCTAGTTTTAGATTTCTTGACTAATTGCTTTTAAACTGGTAAATTTATAAAAACAATCATGTGCATTCAGAAGTACCTTTTAATATATTTATTTAATCTGTGGCAACGTTGCCAACATTCATATACAAAATTATAAAAAATATTGTTGAGGAGAAAACGAGGAACTGAAATACTTCTCCACCACCCTATCACTGTAAACTTAATCAGTTTGAATAAATATGAGCTCAAGTTAAAGGTAAGTAATGTTGATGTAATTTTTAAATTATCAGAGCAGAATAATCTGTTTCATAAATCAATATCTAAAGTAATTAGAAAAATATGTGAGAGCTTGATTATATTATTAACAGCAGAATAGAGCCTCTAATAATTTATTTTGCAGCAGATGAAAATTCTTCTGAAACAGGAAGCATAACTGTAAACTGTAGCTTAGAAGTTTATTTTACCATTTCTCCGTTTAGGTATTAATTAAATCTTAATATTTTACATGTTTTCCATTTTATTTTATTATAATTGCTGTTTTTTTATGAACACTGTATTAAACTCATGTATATATTATATTTAAGGTAGTTTTAGAAACAAAATAGTAGAACCCTATAATTCTATAATTTCAAATCTTCCTGGGAAAACCCATTAGAGCAACGCCAATAGCTTAATAGCCATATGCTTTAAGCCCCAATACATTGTATTGTATATACAGGGTGGGCCATTAAGTTGAGCGGATATGAAAAAATCGTGAAAAATAAACAGAAAGTAATATCATTACGAGTGTATATTTAGATTAAAATACACAGATGGGAAATTATTTTTTAAAAATAACATCATACAGATGTGCGCCATCTTGACATAAGCACTCTTTGAATCTGAACTTCAAATTTGAGAAAACTCGTTGACACATTGCGCGTGGAATATCAGTCATTTTCTCAAGAATATTCTCCTTTAACTGATCTACTCTGCGTGGCCTATTGGTGTAAACGCAACTCTTCAAGTATCCCCAAAGAAAAAAATCACAAGGAGTAATGTCTGGACTTCTGGGAGGCCAGGGAATATCCCCTCGGCGCGATATCAGTTTACCTTCAAACATCTCATTTACGGCCGACTCACTAGACGTATGGCATGTCGCGCCAACTTGTTGAAACCATGTCCGCACATTAAATGGTTCAAATTGATGAAGTTGCGGAAAGAAAAAATCGCGCAACATTGTTGTGTAACGGTCAGAATTTACTGTTAGAGTCTGGCCTCGCTCATCTTCAAAACAATAAGGACCTATGATTCCTTGTGCCGAAATAGCCGCCCAAACTGTAACTTTGGGCGAGTGCAGTGGCTTTTGATGTTTTGATTTGGGATTTTCTGCTGCCCAATAACGCCAATTCTGTTTGTTGATATGCACATTTAAGTGAAAATGAGCTAAGTCCGAAAACATAATATTGTTTAGAGTTGGAAAGCGCTCCAACATTGTTTGAGCAAAAATACGGCGTAGGTTATGGTCATTGGGTTTCAACTCCTGCACTAATAGAATTTTGTATGGATACCAAAATTCGAGCAGGGATGTTCTTGATATGGCAAGCTCTGCCGACCTCTTTTGGGTAGATAATCCGGGATCGCGTCGTAGGGAAGTCCTAACTTCGTTAACTGTTTTCTCTGAGCGTATTGACCTTTGGCCTCCTGCAGGCTTCTGATTAAGCGTGGAACCCCCAGCTTCGAACTTTCTGATCCACGACCTGATCACACTGTTACTGGGACACTGATTTAAGTAATTTTTATCCGTACTTGGCACGAAATATATGCTGCACAACAGTACACGAGTCGCCATTTTTATAATAATGTTTTACGCAGAACGCACGTTGCGACTGAATTTCCGAACACCGAGCTAGTCACCACCACTACTGGCGCCTCCCTAACCAGTGCCGTTTGGATTCAGTGGCGTTCTTAAAATCGTACGTCTTTCTGGTCCACCCTGTATTTTTTGTTTACTCTAGGCATATTTTATTTGACAAACATTTCTTTTGAAACACTTTTTAAGCTCGCAAGTTAATAATATACTTGTCTTTTCTGTCAGTCCTGAGCCTGGAAAAATTGAGAAGGAAAAGGTGAAAATTAATAAATTGCACCACAATCTTTACCTGCTGCTGCGACTACATATCTCCCCAAACTTACTGTTTGAAGGAATTCATGCTAGGGATTAACTAACTCAGGAAAGAATTTGTGATTGTTTTTGACTGCGGGGAGGAATTCAAGCACACTGATAAAATTTAACCTTTCATCAATACAAACAAATATAAAACATTCATCTTACACTTTGTGAAATATATTCTTCCATTTAACTCATATATTTAATTAAATAAAATATAGCATTTTTAAATTATGCACACCTTTGTATTTCGAGGTTTTGGAGATTAGTGAGAATTTACTCTACTTGATTCTTGAAATATACTATAGTGGAAATGCATTTAAGTCTGAAATATTTTTTAATGTTTCTGAATTTTTATTATTTCCTAGACCTTTTTTTAGTTTTAGTTGTTTAATTATTCCTATAATTTCCTCCCAGTAAGTAGGATATAGAAAGATATGGTAATCTGGTAGTTTAAGTCCGAATCTCACTGTAGTTCAGGTCACGGTGCACTCAAGCCGTGATGCAATATTGTGACATGCTATTTAAATGGAAATATTCATATTTGACGTTTCGCTCACGGTACGCTCACCAAATACCAAAGTATTATACAACATGTGAATACTACCTCACATTCTTGAGTGTGAGTGGATCGTGAGCATATGTGACCTGAGCGCCTAGTGAGAATCAGCCTTTAAGCTGATGTTAATGCTCATTTTATTTATTTATTTATTTGTATCCAAACAGGCCAATGGCCTTATTACATGGATAAAAGTATCATAATACATAAATAATAATAATAATAAACAGTAGGTAATTACAACTAATATTACAACTTATTCAGTATTAAAATTAATTAAGAGTAATGTAATATAATTAATCAAGAATAATGTAATAATTAAATACAAGTTTTCGGGACATATTAAATGGCAGTGTCCAGTCTACATCAATACAAGTGTTAATATTATTTGCCAATCAGAGCATGGTCACAAGAGGTGACCTGGCAGTGGTAAGAAATAAAGGAATATTAAACATACATGGATGTCTCATTCTCCTTGGAGGTACATTAAATCGTATTAAGTATAGTAGCTCAGGTGAGTTAATTTTATAGTTAATAATTTTATGTAAAAAAGTCAACATTATCATATTCCTTCTGGTGTGAAGGGAAGGTATTTTAAATTATTTTCTTAAGTTTGCAGTTCTAACAAGATTGTAGTCTGGGTATATATGGAGTTTTTTGAAATAAAGATATCTAAGAAATTTATTTTGTATTTTTTCAATCCCATATAGATTAGTTGGATGTTGCCTCATCCATAGCTTAGCTCAAAATTCAAGGTTTTATCTAACTAGAGTATAATAAAGAATTTTAATAGATTCTATGTTAGTAAAACTTATAGTTTGCCTAATTATGAACCCCAACATTCTATTTGCAGCCTTAACTATATTTTTTACATGATAAGAAAAAGATAGAACACAATCAAGTCTTTTACCTCTTTAGGTCTTTCTATTACTTCTCCATTTATAAGATAATCAAAAATAACAGGATTTTTCAATCTACTTATTGTCACACTGCTACATTTTTTTGTATTGAAATTTAACACCATTCATTTATGTTGTCTACCTATATATTTTAGTAAACTCACACAATCCCTAACAGTCTGTAGTTTTTAAAAATTTTAACATCATCGGCAAATAGGAGACATAAACCTCAGCATAGATGGTAAATCATTGATAAAAAGTAAAAAATGGAGGGGTCCCACCATTACTGTTCCGACTTGTTCTGACAATCAAAATCATTACATAGTTGCCAGGGTTAAGTACTAATTTTTTAAATCTAGGAAAATTTAAATTTGAGTTAATAAAGTTATCAAATATAAATTTTGAGGACAAAGAATATTTTTAGAAATTAATAAAAACAATCTTTAATTTTATAATTTGATGCATTTTTCGTGAAACACAGATTTTGCCTGACCTCAAAATTAAAATAAAAAACAAAAGGCAAAACAAAACTGGAAATCATTCAAATTCTAAACATCAGTGTAGATAGGTGTAGATATGCAAATTAATGCCTGCCTAAACTAAAAGAATAACAAAGATACTTTTATAAAGTTTTCCTGTAAAATCTATAGGATTTTCTACGTTACTGGCAAGTTTCTCATTGTAATGTTTATTAAATTATTTTGCAATAACATTTTACGGTTTAAATAATCACTGAAGAACTTTATGAGGCTAACTGGCTCATCAACCAAGGCTATTAATTTAATTTGAAAAACGTTCTCTATAAAAAAACACAAAATTATTGCTTACCTATTTTCATAAGAAGCACTAACTGCAAGACTAGCTACAAATGAACAATCAGATATCACAGTTTGTTTAATACTCAAATAATTTGGATATGAACCATACACTATGCAGGGCTCCTCACATAATTCTTCAGGTCTAACAAACTTATAAAAATCTCTTCTCTGTTTTGGAGCTAACATAAGATGGCCATCTTTATCTGAAAATGGTATCGAGTACTGAAATCTTTCTGAAAGATCTATAGACATAAAGGGGACATAGTCTCTTCCATTTATTTTTGATGTATGTAAAAGAACAAATTTTTCTTCATCAGTATAACCACTTCCATCTGATGTAGAGGATACATTATGAACTTTCCGTGGTTGTGATATTATATTAGTAGTAAATTGTTGTTGTATTGGCTTTGTTGGAGATGTATCTGGACTAGAAACGGGTGGAGTTATTTCTTTCTTTATACCTTTTAATTCTTCAGCTCTGTCTAAAGCCTGCAAAGTTAATGACTTTAAATCTCCTTGCATCAAATCAGGAAATTTTGTTATATATTCAATAGCTTTAGCATATAATTCAATGGCATCTTCCTTATCTCCTGCCTCATCTTCATCAATTGCTTGATTTAATAAAAAATGGCATTGCTTCAACCTAGAAGTGTTTGTATCCTCATCGATAATTTTGCTCTCCAATGGCACTTTGTTCTGTAATTCATCAGCTCTGCTCTTGTATTGAATAGCTTTTTCTTTTAGAGATTCTGATTTATTGGGATCTTCAATTAATGATAGTACTTGATGCAAAAGATGAGATGCTGACTCATAATAATAGGCAGAAATATTTGGTTCGCCTTGTTGGTCAAATTGTACAGCCTTTTTAGCCGCTTCAATTGCATTATCTAGTAAAATATCTGAGCTTGACATTGTTATGAATGGATATGAAGATTGAAGAACAGTTGCTAAAAAAAGTTAAATCCAAATTTAAATATATCACAGATTATTTGTATGGTTATAATTTGACTTTCTTAATTCTCATATTTTTTGCTCAATTAGATAGTTTTAAACGCTTAACTAATGAATATTATTTATGGGTGTGAGAAAAAGAGAAATTTTATTTATTTTGACATTTTTGACGTTTATTATTTTTACAACACAAAACACAACTGTTGTTGCGTTGTTGTCGTTCTTAGTTTCGACTTTGTATTATTCTAAAAATATTTTGCGCGCACTTCATTGAATTTTAATGTACAGTTTAATAGGTTTTTGATAAAGAACGAAGAACGTGTTTTGTTAACTAAAATTCAAGTAAAATATAGAAACTACATTCTGTGCAGAAATTATGCCCGAGGCTTAAAAACGAAATAATCATTTTTTGCTGAATTGGGCAGGATATGGCACCACTGCATAACAGTTGACAGTGTTACAAAAATTATGTCAAATGATTCCTAAAAAGAAGAAACCTATCGAAAGTGGCCCTATATGTGGATAAAGGCAGAGTTTTGGCTATTTAACAGTAGATGGCAATACTAATCATACCTTAGAATTTTACTGTTTTAATTTATTTTAGTGATTTTTATCATTTGAGACTTAATTTGCCTCAGACATTGTATAAATACAATAGCCTCAGATAAATAAATAAGTAAATAAATTTGCACGCCGTAATATTCATATCAAAAACTCTTAATTAACTAAGTTGGCGATAGATGGCGGTTAGATGCACTTTTGCGTAATAATTCAAATGTCCAATATTCTCAAAAACGCTTGAATAATCTTTCCTCCATGGCTTGAATAGCATGAAAGACGATTTTGATAGGAGAACCCAATTTTGTGAACAAATGATGGCAATGTTAGATAGTATGGTGATCCAATTAGAACACTTGGTTGCCAGATTTTGTAGGAAACCCAGACAGCACCATATATCTATCTATGGACATAGGACATCCACATACAGAAAATCAAAGTATGTGATGGACATCATACATATAGTCCACATACTTTGATTTTCTTTTACTATACGGAGAATGGTCGCACTGCGCAGCTTTCTGAGTGCCTTTTAAAAGGAGATAGAAAACTCCGCCATTTTGAACCCTTATTACGTGTTGCCTACATCTTGGCGCAATATTTTTAATAGGTGCGTTTTAATCATCCGCTTCTGCTTCGGAATTGTCGGTTTTCTTCACTGATCTGTATTATTTTAACAGATCAGTGGTTTTCTTGTTTTAATCTGACAAGTTAAAACACATACTCAGAGATTAGGGACATAAAGATTGGAAACGCAACGACCGCAGCAACGATGGCGTCATCTAGCGTCTCAGATGTTAACTACAGGTCTACGTCGTTTGTAGAGAGACCAGTTTTGCCAAATATTTTTATTGAGAGATCATTCAAGTAGAGTAGAAAAATGTTATTTCGACAAAAAAATTGTACAATAGATACATGCAAAGCATAATATAACTTAAATAGAATGAAAAATAAAAAAAAACTTTATCATGATATAGTATATTACATTACGAGTGTGGAAAATCACTTTTTACACAAGTAATGTACAATATTTTTCCTACGACCACAAAATAATTTCATAAAAAAATGTAAAACCAGGTTATAATTAAAATGTATTTAAAAAAATAATCAACAATAATCGTATTTATTCAATTTTCATATTTTCTAAACAAATAAAAAAAATAAAAAAACAAAAAAAATTCTGGCCTTGCCAGGATTTGAACGCGGTCGCTCGCCAGGTCTCAAATGGCAAAGTTGATAAGTTTGACATTCTAACCATCTAAGCTAACAGGCCTTACGTCAATTGAATGATCTAATCAGTTATGTGTTTAACCAGAATAAAAAGCAAACATATCTTAGTTATTTTAAAATCATTTTAATAATAATTGTTGAAGATAAATATCTAGGATCTAATTTACAACAATTTTAATAATTTAAAAATCATATCGATTTTAGTATTAATATGGACATTACATAGATCAAAATAGAAATGATGTGTTTGACATTTTGTGACAGCTGCTGCGGAAAGTAGCATATTCGTACACGGGTGGAAAGTAAATTCTTATTCATACGCGTGTGATATAGGGCACTTTCCATAGGACTATATAGTGTGATATGTGTCACTTTCCTAAGTGGTTGTAGGAAAATTTATTTATCTACTCGTATTTATAAAAATGTTTACAATGAAAAAAAAACTAAAGAAAATACATGAAACTTTAAATTAACACATTTAAAGTAATCAATGACTGTCATTTGAAAGTGAATGAAATTTTGCATGCAAGCTTTTCTTATGCTGTGATAGTCGGTGTACAAAATCACCATGGTCAAAATCACGATAATTCTAAACGAAAATGACTGCTTTCAGAAATTACGAACGGCCTATGAATCTTTGCAAGTAGCTTTTGATTTTTATTGTTTCATGTTCTGAAGTTGTTGCAGATATTTAAATAAACCTACTAAAAAAGTGAAGATGGTATTTTTAAGTACGATCTCGCTGATGCAATCGTACATCGTACAGAGAGTTAAAAAATCGTATACAGTAGACTTGGACAGCAGTGGACAGTTTATAAATAAATGTCAGTTTTATGTATATCGAAGAATCCTGAATTTATATTTTAAATTTTTAGTTTTTTGGTTGTGTTATCCTCTAGATGAACTAAGCGAAATAGTTGTGGCTGTTTTTGTGTAAAATTTAAGGACAATAATTATATTTTGTAATACTACAATAAGTCAGAGAATGTATTGCATTAGTAACACATGCCACATGAACAAATTTAACAACCCCAATATGGCGTTCTTTAATTAACCAAAGTAGGTAAGATCTATTCATGTAAGTAACACAAATAGTGATCAACTTTTGTCACAAAGTAGGTGTTTATGTATTATTTATTGTTTTAGAACAAGAAAATGGCTTCAAACCGATAGAAAGAAGATTTGATATAGGAAGAAAAATATCTAAATTTCCATTTTTTAATAAGATACCAAAATAAAAACAAAAATGCAGTGTTATAAATAACAATCAAAAATTAAAAAATATTTGTCATGAATATAGATTTACAATAATTAATCGATAATAGACTGTAAGTGCAGTATTTTTTTAAATAAATAATTTTTTGATCTCAATGTTCCAGTTTTACATTGCGCAACTCGGATTTGTATCCCTGGCGCATACGGAATCAAATCATAATAGCCCAAGAGCCCACTGTAAACTTTTACTGCCATCTGATAATGAAATAAAATATACCCCAAAAGCTTGTAAAAACATTGTACTTTACCGAATGGCACCTGTGACAATCCCAATCCTGAGCAGTGTTTAAAAAAAAATATTTTATATTAAAAAAATCACATAAAGCATGACAGCGCTAATTTTGTTTGCCCTTAAAGTTTTCCAGATAATAACATATTCAAATATATCTTGGAAACATTTTCTTCCTCTTAACATCGAGCAAAAACATCTACACACGATTAGTACTTAGGTAAAAATCATTAAAAATATGAATCAATTTTTGCTGATTTAAGAATTTATTTGTATGCCTTTTGTTGTGATTCATTTTTACAGGTTGTCATAGAAACGACAAAAAAACTACTATGATTAAAGTTTAAAAGAAATTGTCTAACAAGAGTTTATAATTATTATTGACTATGGGGTCTATTCTGTAACAATTCCTTTATATTTAACGGCCTTTAAAAATATTTTCTTCTTTACTTCTGTCATTATTTAAACGGATCTTTAAAATACATTAGAGGACTATCTTAAAGAAATCTGTTTAAATTAACGAATACAAACATATTTTTAAAGGTCGCCAATATTTTTAAAGGCCGTTAAATATAAATGAATTATTACAGAATAGACCCCTATCTCTGCCAAAGTTAGGTAAAAATATTAATAATTCAGGTTTAAAAGCTAGATTCACAATGAATTAGGATTGTCATTTTCAGAGAAAATACAATTATCGCTGTCATGTCTCATGTAATTTTTTGTATATAAAATATTTTTTTTAACCGCTTTGCTCTAGATTACAGATTGGCACAGGAGCAATTTGGCAAAGTACAATGTTGTTACATGTCTTTGGAGCATATTTCATTTTGTTATCAGATGGCGGTCGTAATTTGCAGTGGGCTCTCTTACTATTAACAATAGCTGTCAGTGAGAAGGTCTGGTATATCTAAGGAGGTAGAGACATATGCCGCACAATATATCCCCTATAGTAGTGCATCTCACTTGTTAAAGAGTTGGCACTAAGTTTGCAGCGCAAGAATGCGTCTGTGTCTGGCCGCTCAACTAACTCGATATGGCGGTAAATTCAAATATAATTTAAAGGCGAAATTTAAATTTCCCGCCAAAATTGTAAATTTTCAGCCGCGGAATGGCGGGAATTTTTAAATATATTCATTTGGCAATAATTATTGAGAAGTATATTGCATGTTCGATTAAACGAGCTGTAAATCCAGGCGCTATTTTTATTTTGATAGCTAAAAATAATACTAATTCTTTTATTATTAGCTATTACAATAAGAGCAGCATTTGGATTAACAACACATTTAAAAGAACATGTAATATACTTTTCAATTTTACCTAAATCACTTATTTTTTACCTATAGAGGTTAGATCTGAAAAAAAATTGGCTCTGGTAAAAAAACAAAAAATTGTATAAAGTATTTTATTTGAAAAATTATAAAACTTATTTAATATATTTTAAAGACGAAGATAACTCTAGCCATATCCATTTTACTGAAAAAAAAAAAAGAAACTATTAAATGAAATCATTTAGTTATTAAGAGATGTTTGTGATAATACAGTGACAGCTATTGAATGTTGTACAATACGTTTTGCTAATGTCCAAGTAAAAACTACAAAGAGTTAGCATTAGTGGGAGAAGGAATAGAATACTATGAACGTAGCCAGCCGGCTACGTGGGGATGCATCACACCGTGTGCCTGTTCATATTACACAGCACACAAGGCAACATTCATATTATTCGTTTCCTGATCGAACTAATGCGCTAACTCTTTAGTTTTCTTTTCGATTTTAGCCAAGCGTATTGGAAAGTGTTCATTAGCCGATACTGTATATAAATGCTAAAATCAATAAGTGAAATAAAAAAATTTAGTTTAAATGGACATCTACTTCGAAAAAAGTAAATTATTAT